ATGGGTCTTCCTTCAGTCTTGCCTTAGATTACACAAAATACCCAATATATTTGCAAAATGTCCAATCCTCTTTACCTTTGTATTATCAAAGATATAATTGAATATCATTAATTATTAGTAGCCTTATTTTTGTTAATGACAATGTACTTTACTAAATTCTGAATTCAATCAATATTTTCTTTCTAAATTTTGAGCACTTTTGTGTCTCTTTTTAACCCTTTGAGTCCTAGGTCAGGTACTGGATTTCATCACTAGATGGTGCTTGTATGACCTGTCTCAGTAGTGATTGTGAGTTGCTCATCAATTCCCAAGAATCATCTAAATGGTTAGCTAAGTTTGAAATGATGAAGTTATGAAAAATAATTGATCAATGAATAAAAGTATAAGCACATTGATGAAGGCTTTGGTTAATTTAATAAGAAATAATTTAAAAAAGAAAAAATATAATGACAAAAATATTAATTGTCTGCACTCAAAATTCAAGTAGCCTCTAAATTGTAAGTCATAATCATCCTTCCCATTTTATTATTTCATCATTTCTTTTTCTATTTTATTTATGCGATGTGGTCAAATTTTATCAAATACTTTTAGCAACTTATAAGAGTAACTTCTGATGTACTTTTCTTACATATTTTCCATGTTCCTTTCACCAAATACAATAAAAGCACACATTCAAACACATATGCACACACACTCATTGTTTATTAACTCTAATTGCTTTATGGTTGGAGAAAAATATGGTATCATTTGAAGTTTCTTAGCTTAAGATTTGTGTTATAGAACAGATTATGATCTGCCTCAGGAAAAAAAAAATGTGTTCATTATTTTGTTGCTTCATGAAGTTTTCTATGTCAGCTCCAACAAGTTGTTTAGTGGAGCTCTATAAATGTTTAATATTCATATTGTTAATTACTAGAGGGTTCTTAAATTCTCCAGCAAGTTTTGCGCATATGTCTATCTTACTCCTTTATTCAATTGTGCCAAACATTGTTTTATGAATTTTGAACACTGCTACTGCATTATGATATTGGGATTTCTCTTTGATGAATTATTTTTACTATGTAAACTTCTCATTTTCCTCTTTCATGCGTCTGCCTTAAATCCTTTACCTATTGTATGAAAAGGAGCACTTAGATTTCTCCCAGCTCTTAGCTGTTATAAATTAATAACTATTTTATTTTAAATATCCTTTATGAAAATTATTTTGATTTCCTAATGATGTAATTATTAGTATAACACTTATTTTAGCTTCAATTCATATTTCCTTTTGTGTTGTTTATTTTCTTACCTCATTAAATTATATAATAATTCCAAATACTGATACAAGTGAATTAGGAATTGTTCTCAGATTTTGCTCTGGTAGCAGGTTTTATCTGGGGCAGTGGAATTATAAATCATAATCATTCTGTTATTTTTATTTTATTGTTTTATTATTGTTTCCTATTTATAAGATGTTGCAAAATTTTATCAAATAATTTTAGTAACTTATAAGATGGACTTCTGATGTTCTCTTCCCTATCGTTAATGACACATGGATCATCTTATAATTTGGAGACCTTCTAATTATGGTAAAGAATTATGAGCTGCACAAAGTAAGTGAAGCAGTTTATATTTTAGAGGCTCTACAACATTTTAATTAGATAGGAGCCAAATTTTTCTTAAAGGTAAAATTAAATAAAATGCGCTTATGGTGGTCAACACAAGGAAGGGTTTTTAGGCTGGTCAACCACCAGTGTTGTCTGGCAACACAGGTGTGAGTTATCATCCTTGTAATTAAGAACTCAGTATGACACCCAAAAACAAACACATAAAAATTTTTTAAGGTTTTATTTGCAATGGGAGTTGGAAAGGGGAGGAGAGAGACAGAGAGAATTATTGATGACACCTCCAGCCAACAGAATCATCTGAGGTGAGAAACAAGGGAGCAAATGGAACATGAACAAACATGAACACATTTGTTCAGGACTTGTTCAGGGTTGTTCAACTCTGTCCATAGTTCTTATTGAACCTAGATAGGAAATTAAAATCATGGAATGATGAGAATTGTAATCCTAATCTTTTGAGATCTCACTTGCTTGGAGAAGGGAGTAGGATATATAAAAATATTAGAAGGTGTAGATAATTCAGAAAATAATTTACAGGTCCAGAGTTTGTCCTTTATGTTTTCTCTAAACTACAGCATCTACAAACACAATAGAAAACCTAGCTGTCTGTGTGTGAAAGACCCTCTCAAGACACGTAATAGACAATTTTCAAAATGTAACTGTACAAATAAACAGATGTTGAAAAAGAACAAAGGTTGAGAAATAGAACATGAAAATGAAATTTCCAGTCTTAATAGATCACAAAATAGGCTGAAGTGATGTTTACATAAATTACTTATATGAATTATTTATTTTCTATAAATTTCTGCAAAGAATTGTACAGAAATACATGTATAAAATATATCAAATTCAATGTTGAACATGTGTTAAAAATTTCGCTACCACCTTCATCTTGATGCTTTATTATTCCAATTGGAGATCACAATTTCATCAATTTAAAAATATTTTCAGAGTTCTCCCTTCCCTGGTGGCACAACGGGTTAAAGCACAGCACTATGAATCTATCAGAGCCAGTGCAGCATGAGTTCAATCCCTGACTAGGGGCGGGGTATGACCCACAGGGTGAGGCAATCCTCTCCTGTTCCGCCCCTTGCTCCCCTCAGCAGTGTACTTCATGGATTTGCCTATTCTGCTCCCCACTTTGTCTCTGGTGAATTCTCTCAACCCCCCACACTGCCAGACTGTATCCCCGTTCTGTATGTATAAACAAATATATCTTTAAAAAAATAAAATATTTTCAAATAAATTTGAAGAATCAGATGATCAGACTCAATTTGAGATATTTTACATATTCTAAAATTATAAAATTATAATAATACGAGAGATAAACCTACCATTCTTAAACACTTGAAGCCATTTATTTGACATACTGTACCTAACATATCACTAAATCTGATTATATATATTGGACTATGCCTATGTATATAGGCTGTGTGTGTGTGTATCGTAATCATCATTTTATTATGCCCATACTATCAGGCCTGTAACTTTGTCAAATTGAAAATGCATGCATTTCCTTAAATACATACATTTTTAAATGTACTATTACATTACTCCTGCAAATAGAATTCCACTTTGTAGTATCTATTTTCAAGGTTCTGTGTTTCTCTGGTGTCTATAACAGTGGCCTCTGGGCCCAGATCACCTGGTATATGGAGATGGAGGTCCCATGTGTGACTGTGAAGGGGAAGGTGTAGGAGGCTTCTTTTGTCCTGGGTTTGTTTGGGGTTTTATTTTTTAAAGATTTATTTATTTATGCATACAGAACTGGGGTACAGGCGAGAGGTGCAGAGTGTGGTGAGAGGATTCACCAGAGTCAGAGTGGGGAGCAGAACAGGCCTACTGACTAAGTACACTGCTGAGGGAAACAGCAGATGAGACAGGAGAGTCTGCTGCGCCATCTTGGTCAGCTCCGTGGTGACATCCAACACGTGCCTAAGCGGCTGCAGCTAGTTTCCTAATGCTGAGCTTTAACTTATTGTGCCACCAGTAAGGTCCAGTTTGGAGATTTTAAATATCAAGAGTAACTTGAAATTGTCAAAGTCTTCAAGCTCTGCGTTTTCTGTGTTCTTCCCTCAGGATTGTTGCAGGGTATTTTGTCTCCAATCTCCAAATCTCAGATCCAGTCCCAGTTGTTCACACCAACACAAAGCCTTTCCTCTTGCAACTTGTTTCCTCTCTGAAATATTGTTCTGGACCCCTGTCCTCTTTCACTAATAAATTATTCATTTCACAGAACTCTCCATAAATATAACTATACCAGGAAAGTCTTCAGTAACTCTTTTTTCAAGATGCTAAGTTCTGACAACTCATTTTCCCTATTTAGGAGAACTTACTTCATTTGCACTTGTTCTTATTATTGCGAGTACTCATCTTATCTCTTCCTCTGGTTTGTATCCTGGTGATAACAGGCACAGCTCTGTGACGTGACGTGTACTCATGTATGTCTCCAGCACGTAAAGCTCGATGTGTGACCAGTGGCAGGAAAAATTCTTAATGGTGAATGAAGCAAACTTGAATTTTTTTTTTCATTTCAGTGCAAACTATGCATTTTCAAACTCTTAGTAACTATATAGGGAATAGTGTTTAAATAGCGCCCCGCTATTAAAACCGTATTTGACCATTATCCTGTCTTCTAAAGGAAGATATGCCAGCAGCTTTCCTGTCTGTCTGTGCTTAGACCGGTACTTCTGTGACAGGGTAGCCCAGAGTGGACTGGCCCGCTTTCTGTGGGGGCCTCATCCTGCGCGCTCAGAATTCAGTTACACTGCAGGTACACACAAAAGGGTCAATAACGGGTTTATTTACAAAAGGGGAAAGGAATAGGAAACACCCCAGGAAAAGAGAGCGGGATACAAAGTAAGTGGAATACCTTAGGGCTAGGCTGACTGAACATACCAAGTCACGCGGTCCGGACAGCTGCTTCCTGAGCAAAAGAGAGAGCCAGAGCAAGCGCACAAGGTGCAATCGCGGGCCCTCTTTATCCCCCAAATGTCCCAGAATTCCTTTCTGCTAGCTCCGCCCTTGGGTCCTTGCAGTTCTCTCCCTGGTACTGCTGGGAGTTGTAGTTTCCAATCACTGGAGTACGGTGTAGGGTCCAGAAAGCTGGAATAGGGGGTGGAGTCCATAAAACTCTGCAGAGTTCCTTTAGGACATCCTTCCTCTTAACACTTCTAGTTCTATTTTTCTTTCTTTTTTTGCTGAAAACTTGTGCTTTTAAAATATTTTTTCAAATGTTACTATATAGAAAAGATTAATGTCGTACATACTAGAAGGTTTGAACATCTTAAAAGTATTTAATACTTGAGTCCCAACCTTGGGAATTGTATTTAATATTTGTGTCCCAACGAATTTCCATTACATTTTTTCCTCAGTGGTCAGTAGTGTTTTTTTTTATTATTATTATTTCTATTGTTAGATATTATGGATGTAAATTAAAATAGCACACGGACTTCTATAATAAACTTTTTTTCCCAGGAACTATATTGTTGACATTGTTGAAGTCATCACCGTGGGAAATCTCACATGTTTGCTATATTTTCTTTTCATAGAGTTATCAGATCTGAATATTCTTCTTACAGATACAGTATCCCATAATTTGACAATCTTCAGCATTAATACTGCTATAATATACATATATGCATTTACTATCAACATTTTCATGTCCAGGAGTTGGAAGCCTATGAGATAAAACAATTTCCATTAAATGCTGAATTTCCTTTATATAATATTTGAAAGTTTAAAGTCTATGATATTTGCATAGCTGACAAAAGAAGAAATCAACTTTCCTAGTTAATCAACAATACACATAATAAATATATTATACCTCATAATTTAATACTAAATCTGGAATTGGGAAAGTACCAATTTCATTCTGATGATAACACATGACCTTAGGCAACGTGAAATAGTGGAATATATATACAGGGATTGCTAGCTATCAACTCTTATCAACTCTCTAGGTAAGGTAATTTAATATCTTCAATTTTCACTTAGGTTTGCTATATTTCCTTTACATGCTTATAATCTGAAAATTTCATTATTGGTTCTCACCAATCATAATCTGGGTATAGGGGTTAAGTCTCAGTTCTGTCACGGAGAGCTGTCTCCCTACCAAGCAATTGACCCGTATGACACAGCAGACAGCTCCTATCTCACATGCCAGCTCTTTCCCTAGCAGCAAATTTCCCTAGCAGTGAATTTCAGTCAGTCTGCCTCCTCTGCTCCCTACTTTGTCTCTAGTGAATCCTCTCACACCTCTGGCCTTTACCTCAGGCCTAACCCTCAGTTCTTGTAAGCAAAAGTAAATCAATACTCCAATACTCCAAAAAAAAAGGATAAATTGTCACCTGACCTCTGTACTTTTTACATTGTGAGCAACATTATTTATTCGACCATCCTTTAAGACCTCAATTATAAAAGTTATAAGCAATCTAAATGAGTTATGCAAGTTAAACATTTTTTCTGGTACTGTAATTTTCATGTAATTCTTTCCACTTAATTTTTGTCTTTTCCAAGTTGCTTTACTATGGCTGCATCTATTATTTAATCTAACATTTGTTCATATTCACAATAAATGATTTAATTAAAAATACAATTATAAGAGATTCTAGTCTAGAATTTGAAAACAAGAGACTTACATGTTCAGGGTAAGATCTGTACCATCCAGCCAAACCCATTTTGACTGTGTACTGTCGTAGTACAAGTTCATGAAGAACTTTGCTTGTAAATTTTCACAAGGCGTCTTTGACAATTTCTTTATAAAATTCTATAGAAAAGGTGGAAAAGAAATGACAAGATAGGCCCTCCCTGGTGGCGCAGCGGGTTAAAGCACAGCACTGAGAAGCTAAAGCCACTTCCGCATGAGTTCGATTCCCGCCTGCCCCGGAGGTGACCACATGGCGTGGCAGACCTCTCCTGACCCGCCCGCTGCTCCCCTCAGCAGTGTACTTCGTCCATCTGCCTGTTCTGCTCCCCACTCTGTCTCTGGTGAAGCCTCTCGCAGCCCCTGAGCCTCTGGCCTGTACCCCAGTTCTGTATGAATAAATAAATAAATCTTTAAAAAAAAAAAAGAAATGACAAGATAAAACTTCCTAAGAATGAGAACTGTGATTGCTTGAATACCTTTATTTCACTTACAGACTTCCCTGCAAATCTATCCTACTATATGGAAATAACCTGGAGAGATTCACCTTAGCGCCTTTAGCCATATGACTGGATCATCTGCTAATGATTCTTTTCCCTTAGTTATTCATTATATTTTAATCACTTTATTTGGTTATAGGTCATGCAAATGAACAGAATTTCATCTTGATAGTTACAATAGACACTGAAAATCTATTAGTTTATACAATAAATAATGACGTGTCACAACATTTGAAACATGGGTGGGAAAGGGGAGAAATAACAAGGGTTTTATCAGGTACCTGATATTCCTACCTGATACAGGTAGGAATCAGGCTAAAAGTCAACTGAGTACATTATTGGTGCATGTTATCCTAAACAATGAGGAAAGAAATTCACGTATTACTAATGTTAATATGAAAAATTAGTCAAACCATAAATATCGCTGGAGTTTTCATGTAGAAGATGCTTTAGAGGTAGATAAATCTTGAGTGATTGCTGTACTAGTTAAATTTTAGAAACAAAACTCACTTATATTTAAGAAACAAAATCTTACCCTTACCATCTCTTCTTCAGTATCGAATTTAAGAAATGTTGAATTTAAACTAGTGCAATAGTCTAGACATTGATTCCAAATCTTCTTGATTCTTGACAAATAGTAGCAGTTTTCTCCACGCTGATACCATTCATTGGGACAATTAGGAATATTCCAGCCTATTAAAAATGGCAGAATATAGCCAAATGTCTCCCATCAGAGCATGTCACATCCAGTAAGTTTATAGAGCAAATGTATGCTGTACAATGAAACAGTTTTATTTGGCATTATATTTGTGGGCCCTCAAATTTAGTAATACCTTTATTTTACATTATTGATTCATATCCTTGAAAATAGTTTAGACTTCATGATTCATAGGAATATATGAGACAATTTTAAAATCATATTATTAGGGCCCTCCCTGGTGGTGCAGCGGGTTAAAGCACTGCACTAAGAAGCTAAAGCCACTTCCACATGAATTCAATCCCCGCCTGCCCCGGAGAAGATCCACATGGCGCGGCAGACCTCTCCTGACCCGCCTGTTGCTCCCCTCAACAGTGTACTTCGTAGATCTACCTGTTCTGCTCCCCACTCTGTCTCTGGTGAAGTCTCTCACTGCCCCTGCACCTCTGGCCTGTACCCCAGTTCTGTATGCACAAATAAATAAATCTTAAAAAAAATGACATTTTTATAAATATGTTGAAAATACATTTCCAATATAATATGTCTATATATGTGTAATATATATAATATATATAAATTATATATAATTATATTTATATATTTTAAAATTATATATTTATGATTATATATATATATATATATATATATATATATATACACACACACAAAATGTTGGAAAAAACATTAGGCCTCAAATGTAGTCCTTAGTACAGGATACCAATGAGACTTAAAAACTCACCTAATTGTAGTTTCTTCCTCTCTCCACTTTGCAGTTCTACACCCTCACTCTGGAATTTCCTGATCAGTAACACTGAAGGTAGGTGGTTTACACAAAATCTTTTTTCTTATTTTTTAATATCCTATCCCACTTTTTTTCTGACTATAAGACTTCATATCTATTTGAAAATATAATCTCACAGGCAACAAGGAAATCAGCTAATGCAACACGAGTTCTCTCTTCTCCTGAAATTAAAATTATGACTCAGAGACTTCCAAGATTCCCTGTTTTATTTGCTTCCTTTTTGTAGGAGATAATTTCTGTGTGTTCCTCTGCATTAAATGAGCTCTGATCACTGAAGAGAACTCAGAAAGCCCATTTATAAATATAAAGATAACAATATTTGGACTCCTGTGCCTGGCACTGTCCTAAGTAGGAAATAACAAAATAATTAGTGAAACATAACTTGCATTGAGTCATCTGCATGATGAGACCCCTTTAATTAACTCCAAGGCAAGGTGACTTTTCCTGAAATAACCTTGCTTTTCTTTTGCCAATAACCATGTGTAATGGTCTATCTTCCTGAAAAACCTGTATTTTCTGTAAATCCTTATAGAATTTTTCTTCTTGCCAGCCAGAAAGTGGCCCAATTCATGAACCATATATTAAAGCCAATTAGATATTTATATTTGTTAATTTTGTTTTCAAAAATGCACATCACTACCTGAGAAATACTCAGTTCCACTCAATCCTCATTTCTGCCTACATGTATATTCTGTATGTGTCAAGCAAAGTAAATTAGACAAAGTGAACTGTCTTCTGAAACAAATTACCACCGAGTCTTCTAAAATTACCTGTTTCACTTCTTTCCTCATTGTAGATGTTTCTTGTATTAAATGACTTCTGATTCACTGAGGAGAATTCAGAGAGATCATTTTTAACCTCAAAGAGAAAAATAATTGTACAATCTTGTATGCCTCATCTTCAGTCTTGGCAGAGAATGTTATGTTTGTGCATGGAAGAGAGCAAATCAAAATTGCATTATCTCTAACAGATTCCACTGTGTGGGTGGGGGAAAATAATGTATTTCTATTTTACACAGTGACTTACACTTTGTGGCTAAAACTCCAACAGACAAAAGCAGCGCCAGGCAAATGATCCCCACAGTCGCTGCAATGGCTTTCCATAAAAATAGAGGAGGAAGATCTAGGAAAGAGAAAAGTATACCTGTGGCATCATCATAAATGTTTGTCAGAGTTCAGCTTTTTTTTCATGTGTAGTAAACTACACAACCCTAAAATAGGGGAAAGCAGTTGATCTATAGTCATTATTCATTCTGTGTTAGCTCAAGTCGAAAGCATTAAGGTGAATTGAATTCCAGAAAGTACATATCCCTGTCTCTGTGAGGAGACAGAACACACACACTCTACTTCATTTTACCAAAAGAGAGGACAGAAGGAAGCAGACACAAAGCACCGAAGAATTTTAGCAAAGTCTCTTAAGTTATGAACAGTTATCATCATATTAGAATTCTATAGAACTAGAAAAAAAGGAGTTCACTCTCTTGCCAACAAAATCTGTTGATCTCCATTGGGTGCTCACAAAAAGGGGAGAATGTCAGAAGATATGAGTGACCAAGTTATGTGGGGCAGTTCTTCAGGCACTGACTATATTCATGGGTGTAGTAGACAAATCTGGGGACCTTCCCTGAATGAACCCTACATAACCTAACAAATAACTTCCTATAAGGAGCAAACATCACCAGGTGTCTGGATCTGGTGACTTCAGGACCCCAATAAAGACAAGCTGGCTCTGAGGAGGGTGTAATATTAAATGCCCCAACCTCTCCACCTCCTGCATTAGAGCACACATAAAATTGGAGTTCCTTTGTGAATTCTTTAGTTTGCTTTCTTTTGCCCTAATGAATCTCTATGCAAAATTGAACTTGTCCATTTTAATCGGTGGTGGGCATAAACTGGACTCATTGGGCACATCAGAATCTGCTTCCATTAATCCTCATGCTGATACCAGTTATTCACCGCATCTGATTAGGCACGCTATCTTACCTGACACAGAACACCGATTGAAAGGTGAAAACAAATGTTGAAGAAGGAGGGTTTAAACCTGTCACTAGCCCATTAGCATTTTAGTGACATGCCAGTAACATCTGTAAAAATCAGAAAACTAATCAAAAATAGGAATGCGGCCTTCCCTGGTGGCGCAGCGGGTTAAAGCACTGCACTGAGAAACTAAAGCCACTTCCGCATGAGTTCGATCCCCGCCTGCCCCGGAGGTGACCACATGGCGTGGCAGACCTCGCCTGACCCGCCCGCTGCTCCCCTCAACAGTGTACTTCGTCTATCTGCCTGTTCTGCTTCCCGCTCTGTCTCTGGTGAATCCTCTCACCCTCCTCATCTCTGGCCTGTACCCCAGTTCTGTATGAATAAATAAATAAATCTTTAAAAAAAAAATAGGAATGCACATTTTTCAGAGATGTCTCAGTTCAGAAAGGATGTTTAAGGGAAGAAACAGATGCATGATATTATGTGAGTTCACTTAATTGAAACAGATGTGAGCTTTCTTCATGCAATATGTAACTAAGACATCTAATTCACCCCGGTATCCATAATAATCCTGCATTATGAAATCATCATCATTTGGAGAGTTGATCATTTTTTTCTATTTTTACAAATCAATGATCAAAATGTATAAAATTAAAAACAGAAAAGGAGAGCAGCAACCAATGGAGCAGGGATTAAATGTAGGTTTTGAAATGCAGAATGTGAATGGCTTACTGGCATGAATTAGTTAATCAGTGGAGCACTGAAGTTGAAAACAAAGGACATGGAATCCAGGCCATTTACTTACTTTGACACTTTCACCATGTTTAAAATAGTGTCAATAGTGTCTAATTAATACTGATAGGACTTTTGAGAGGATTCAACACATTATATTACATATGTGATTTGAAAAGTCCTGCTTTATAGTAAATAAACAATAAAACTTGAGACTTAAGTGAGTGATGGGAGTAGAGCTTCTAGACTTTGGTTGTCTATATCTTTGGGGTTTTGCTCTGATTGAACCAGGAATGACCATCTGCAACCCTGGCTACTCTGTAGCTCCAGAGATGAGGTGGAAAGTGTTATGAGGACAGGTTGAAGGAGAACAGGTGAGCATCGACTGCAATAATATAAAAAAGAGATTAGCAGTTTAGAATGGTTATTGACAAAGTAGAGAACCTGGTAAAAATCTGCTAGTTTAAAGTAATCGCTGCCAGGGTTTGCTGATGGAAACTGCACCAGTGTAAGCCTAAGGAGCTGTTCTGGGCTTGCAGACATGAACAATTAAAAACATGAAGTTATAATTAAGTCAAGGGAAGCATCCCAGGGTAGGAGGACAGCGCATCCAGAGTTCAGTTTGAGATAAATGTTGGACAACATAATGACACTGAGGATGGAATCTGGGTTTACTTGGTCTGGAATTCAGGAAAGAATCCCAAACTGATTTTGAATAATTTTGAATAATTTGCATGTAAGTGATATTTAAAGCCAAAAGCTTAAGGGAATCTCTAGGGTAAATGTACAAATGAAAGATAAGGGAGTAGAATGGATCTAAAGACACTGAAATTTAGAGACCAGGGACAATATGCATTTTACTACAAGAAAACTAATTTATGGAGTAAACCTTCATTTTGGAAAAAGAAAACTATATAGAAGCTTATCTAAATGAAATGGAATAGTTTTATTACTTATGTATGCAGTCATGTAATTATGTGCAAAATGATCTGGAAAAAAATAGGTCCAGATTTTATTCAGGGATGCACTTATTGTCTAGTAAAATATCCTCCATTTTTCTTTTTTGGTGACTGGTCATTTTATATAATGCAGTACTTTCAGAATAATGCTTTGTAAAAGTTACTCTGGTCTTCTATGACTTTTCCTTATATCCATGAACATATCACCATACATTGAGAATATTTATCACCTTTACCTTGTAAACAATGAAACCTAAGACCAGAAGATATCTCCGCATAATGCATAAGAATCACTGATGTATTCTTCACTATACCATATGAAGCCAAATATTGATCATCATATCTGTCAATTCATAGTTGTAGGTGTGTGAAGGAGATATAGAACAAGGAATGTCCTTTTAAAAGATTTCATTAAATTAGAAAAGTAGAGTTCCTTGATAGATTAGTTGAGAGCCGTTGATCTCTGGGATAAGAGGAGACTTGAAGCTCCCCGGGGAAAGATGGAGCTTCAACAATTTAGGCTGAATTTCAAACATGCCATTCATATGTGTGCTCACTCATATGTGTGCGTTCGATAAGAAATTCAATTTATCTTGTAATGTTCTTTTGGTATGGATTTAGATGTGAGAAAGTACTTTATAAATTAAAAGAAACTGAAAGGTTCTGTTATGCAAAATAAATAATAGTGAAGGTGTCATATATATTTATAAACATACCAAGAAATAATAAATACATTAATATTTTTTTCTGTGTGACTAATGCTTACTACATGTACTGGAAAGATGAGTTGATCATTAGGAATAAAAAATAAAACTTTCTGAATATATTATGGGCAATTTCTACTGCAGAAAAATTTTTTTAAATGACTAAGGGTACAGCAGGTAAAATTAGAAGATATTTCCTCAATAATCATATAGAGGTTACATAAATAAAATGTAAAAAACAGCTACCTTAAAATTTAGAATGCAATCAACTATTTAAAAATAATAGTATGTCTTAGACAAAATCATGAATATACATTTATAGTGAACAAAATAAAGCTAGCACATTAATTCTAATCATCCCAGATACTGATTTGAAACATTTGAAAAATAGAAATTAAATAGAGTTAAAATATAAAGGAAAACAAATTTCTAGTAATAGAAGATAGTCAAACTTCATATGTTGACTTATTCTACTAAAATGATAGCTCTGTAATTTCTGTAAGCAAAAATTTTAAAAGTTATGCTTGGAAGTCCTTACTCTGGCAAATACATAAAACATTAAAGTAAGAAAAAATAAGCAACAAATTGTAGTAAGTATAAAAAAGAACATCCCTTTAAATTTTCTAACTGCTTGATTACCAAATATACTACTATATATAGTGATATTTTAAAATCACAGAAAAAAGTATATTTCATAATTCAATCAACAAATCTTTCACTAATTCAAAAAACACTGATTCAATGTTTGCAATTTAGAGAAAAGTTTTAAACTTCATGGTAAAAAGCCTTGATCTGTTCTCCAAGGATCTATTTCCCCTGCTTTATAAAAGATAAACACTTAAGTTGTTTGTGCATGTGAGCATAATAATCCATATAAACTTGTATGTTTTAATGCAATTTTTAAAAAGAAAATGCAGAAAACACACATACCTTTAGGAATAACAACTGATAGACCCTTTTTTTTAGTTATTTCAAGTTCTTGATTTTCTTGTGGCTTAGATGAACATTTACGTAGCATATTAGTATAAATTATTTCACTCATTACTGAAAGGTAGAAAGGTGATGAAATAAACAGAAAGTTATTTTTCAATGACTATAAATTATGAAATTAGTAATAAAAATGGTATTGAATAAAATAAATTAATCTTTGGAATGAATCTAAAGACCTGGGAAGTTAGATGTAATCCCAGACATGAAAATACTTGAGAAACAAAAATAATATGAATTCTTTCAAGGTGTTGAGCTGGTATGACATATCATTTCTGGACTCTAATTCTGTTTGTTCACAATAATATATTATGAACATGCTTCTATTTAAGTGATAAATCTGTCACTCACAGATAGTGAAAATGCAGCAGGTGATCATTTTCTGTGCTGACATCCATGGAATCAGACCTGCACAACCTGCACCCAGGCCAGGCTCACCTTCCCCTGCTCCTTCCTCCTTCTCAGACTCCCCTTCTTTTATTTTCTCATAATTCCTCTAATACATTTCATTTTCAATATAACTCGAGTACTTCTCCATCTTACATGTTTGATCCCAGTTCTTTCAAGCATGTTTTCCTCTTATTTTTGCCGACTATAATATTAGTTTTTTTTAGAATTATTCTAATTTCACCACCTTATAAAACTCACAGATCCTTCAATAAAAATCTTCTCCCAATGTTCTATTAGTCTTTACTTGTCATTAGCCTATCAAGTATCTCCTTTATATTGCTAACATTAAGGTTTATCTATCTCATTAATCTTTGTTATACCATAATTGCTCGTTTAATGTCTTCCTACAATTTGATAAAAGTTAAATTATCTTCGAAGCTAACATTTTATCACTAAATAAATCCTGGCTATGATGAAATTTAAAAACATTATACCTCATTATCAATTTTACAGGAATTAGTGAGAGCTCTTTTTAACACTCTTATTAGAAAAAATAAACCCAAGTTTATAATTTTCAAAGAAACATTTATAGGAAGATAAGTTATGATTTCTACTTTTGAATTTTGTTAACTTTCTTTAAACCTAAATTTCATTTAAATAGCCATTCTTACATGTCACAAAATGTAATATCAAATAACAATAATCACATAATAGTAAAATTATCTTCAATAAAAATATAAAAAATTAGTTTCTTTAGGTCAGTCAATTATTCCTGATTTCCTCTTAACATTTCATCTGCCTTCTTCTTCATCTACTCTGAATGCCACAGAGAGATATAGATACACAGATATAGCATGCTTGAAAATCCAACATGCATATATTATTTACAATAATACATATATATATATATACCTGCACATTGAATTAACATTCTATTTTTGAATATATCTTTAACTTCTTTCAATCTTATTTCCCCCAAAATTCTAATACCTGCTGAGAAATAGAATGAGTATCTCAGAAATTGTAAATACCTGATTTTTAGAAGAAAATGATCTTTTGAAGAGTGCGTATGTATATCCTGGGAAGGCGTAGATGATATCTTTTATTAAACAAGTTGAAATTTAAAATTTTTGATAGTCAATCGTATGACTTTAGAGCCAGAAAGAAGCAAATGCAGAAGCTAATTGTGCCTTTGTCACTCCCATAAGAGACTGATAGATGAACACAAAGGTCAACAATAAGAGAACTCTGGAAGCAACCACACAGGAAACTCTTCTATGCTGCTCAATTTATCTCTGCCTCATCTCCAGATTGGGCCTTTTATTGGTCTCCCTTCAGTTACACAGAGTACCTAATAGATTTTCTCTAATAGTCAAGCCATTTACTTCACCCTTTGCATCATCACAGATACAATTTAATATAAATCATTAATAAAGAAACCTTAAATATTTGCATTAATGCCAATGTGCTTTCCACATTCTAAATTCTATCAGTATTCTGGTTGTATTATTTGAGCACTTTGTGATGTCTCTTGCTGACCCTTTCAGTGTAGGGCAGGTGTTGAATTTCATCACTAGATGGTGCTTGCATGACCTATCTCAGTCCCCCTCTGTCCCACCAATGTCTATTCGTCATGTCACAGCCAAATAACAAAAATTCTTCTGAGTTATTCCCATCCATATCAAATATACATTTTCAAAATTGTTTTATTCTTTGTGTAATAGAAGACTTTTTTTTTGATAGTGCTACAATAGTTTTGCTTATATTCACTTTGAATTATATTCATTTTACTTTTTATTTTACTTATTTTAATAATTTCAAAGAATATAAGCTAATAACTATGGATCATTTCTTCATCATCTGTAGTAAAAGAAACATTTCAAACATAAATGGAAAATATAGTCACATAAATAAATGGTACATAAAAACAGCAATAACCCTTTTAAAACTGCCCAATAAATTTTGGGTAAAAGGATAAATATAATGAAGTAGCATTGATTCTAAGGAACTATGAGACCTTTATAACAAATGTGATAAAGTAAATATCAAGGAAACTTTATTAACCTCAAATATTTAACTAATTATTCAATTCATAAATTTATTATTGCAAATAAGCTGGTAACGAATATATGGAGATAATTAAGATATATCCATAGACATAAAGAATATTTTCTATAAATCCAATGAAAATTATATACTTAGAAGTTGGAAACTACAAACTTTCTAAATTTTAATTATTAATAATCAAAGTCTTAATCTTTTACCAAGGAAGAAACAGAGAAAATGCTTCTGAACCACGCACATTTTTGTAACCAATGTCATTTCAATTAAAAAAGAAAGAAAGTTGGGCCCTCCCTAGTAGTGCAGAGGGTTATAGCACAGCACTAAGAAGCTAAAGCCACGTGAGCATGAGTTCGATCCCCACCAGGGATGTGATCCACATAGTGCGGCAGACCTCTCCTACCCACCAGCTGCTCCTCTCAGCAGTGTATTTTGTCAGTCAACCTTTCCTGCTCCCCACTCAGTCTCTGGTGAAACCTCTCACTGCCTCTGTGCCTCTGGCCTGTACCCCAGTTCTGTATGCACAAATAAATAAATGTTGAAAAAAGAAGAAGAAGAAAGAAAGCTCTAATTAGATAATAAGCATATGTGCAAATATTTTAAATAAATATAGAAAATGATCTTGAGGCACAGAATGTTATTAGAACAATATTTGAAAAAAAATCTAACATTTATTCTCTTTTGTATATTCTAATACTGCAAAGCTTCTCAAATAAATTGAAAGTCTACAAAAAGAAACACTTGAAAATTGCTTAGTGAAAGAATTTTGTAACCCAGCAGGGAAATTAAAAGTATTTGCATACACAGATGCTATCACAAATATGTGGTGAAGTATAGAGAAACCTATCTAGGGATCAGATAAACAAGCTTAAAATCCAGCCCTTGAAAGCTGACTACAGCCCTTGAAGCATCCAGAAGGGGGGAGGGGTCGCAACAAAGAGGGAAAGAATCACAATAGACTGTGGTGGAGGACTGCGGGTTACCAGGAGGTGATGTATTATGGCAGGGATACCTGGTGATGGTGTCGAAATATTAATTTAAAATATTAAGTAAAATAAATAAAATAGAAGAAAAAAGTTTACTAATATTAAAATATAATGGGAAAATCTTGAAATGATTCATTAACTCAGTTTAAAATGATGTTACAAAATAAAGCCATCAATGAATAAAAAATATACTTGTGAAGACTTTTGTTTGTGAATTACTCATGCCAAGATTTAAAGAAAAATAAGAGGAAGAACTATCTATGCTAGTGGTTAAACTCATATCTAGATTAGCACAGAAAGGACTTTACTTCTGTAAAATCAAGGTCCTCTAAAGAGACAGAAAACCCCCACTGCAAGTTCCACAGCTGCAATGAGCTTATGGTGACCAGCATGTGAAGGGTCTTGGAGCTGATCAAACATGGTTGATGGCCCTACTGTAGGGCCCCAAGGTGTTTCCTGGCAATACAACGGGGGTGACCTGGATATGAGTACTTACCCGCATACTTACAAACTCAGTATGATGCCCAAAGTAGATACATAGAGATAAATTTTAGAAGCGCTATTTTTAATGGGGAGAGGGAATAGGGAGTCAGAGAGACAAATTGCGGAACACTCCCTATAAGCAAAACCATTTGCTGTGAGACACAAGGGTACAAGTTGACCTTGGAAAAGCAAGAGAGATATGAGAAAGAACTGATTTTGAGGAATGTGAGTTGGCAATGGAATTTCCCTATTTAGTACTCCATACAAAAAACTAAAATGATGTTGACAGAATGTTTGCAGAAAATGCTTATTTTATTTAAATTTCTACAGAGAAAATGTACAAAAATACATGCGTCAAATGTATCAATTTAATGATAAATATGAATTGATTAAAATTTTATTTACAATCTTTATTTTGGTGTTTTATCATTTCAAGTGGAGTGAACAAATTCATCCATTTTAAAACATTTTCATATATATAACAATCACATGATGAGACAGTTTGAAATATTTTACATATTCTAGAAGTAGACAATTGTAATAACATGAGAGATAAAGCTACCATTCTTGAGGTAGACCTCTACTGCCACTCCTGCTCACTTCTATCTAAACCATTTGTTGTTTACAAATATAAAGGTTTTGGGTACTACAGGATTCTTCAAAAGCCCCGCTAAGTGGGTTGTATAATACACAGTTCTTTGAGTTCGTAGTTTGAGAGACTGACAACCTGCAATTAAAAAGAAAAATGTTAACACTTGGTAAAAGAAATGAGAATCTTCGGCAATGTCACTTTTATTAAATGATAGAGCTTTTCAAAGCATTTGAATGATTCATTAGTTTTGTCCAATAGCAACAATTTTCATGATTTCAGAGTAAAATATGAAATCTAGGTTATTGTCTCAGTAACCAATAGCATTAAGACTGGATATTTTGTCTTTGTTTTTAAATATGGTTTTGAAATATGATAGACTCTTCTTCAATTTTGCATCAACTCTAGTACCTAAACTATTCTAGGAAACCAAGTTAGGGCTTACAATTTGACTGATGCCAAAGTCCCATGTTTAAATAAGATTTAAAAAACTAAAAATATTCAGAAAATATAACTGAAAATTTATAAAAAGTAAGCTGAGAATATTGGGCTCAAGAAAAATAAAGAAAATCATGGATACAGTGTTTCACTGGACAATTCTGAGAATATTATGACCTACCATGCACAAACACCCATCGAAGGAAAAAGTCCAGTGTCACAAGCTCTGCTGTGGTCACAAGTACACATGCATTACGTCACTTGAGCATAACGTTTTCTGGATGCAGCTAAGATTGCTTTTCTGTTGAATCTATTTTTTTCTGTATGTTCATGGCCTAGGAAGATTATCTTATCTACATCAGTGGTGTGACAAACATAAACTCATAAAGAACAGAGAATCCCTAGAGTGACAGAAACTTACAGCTCCTTGGAGACAGTGGAGTTATCCTCCCACACCCAGGTATTTTCTTTTTCACTGTAGGTGACTCCAATCCAGTAAAAGCCTAAACTGTACTTCATAAAGTTCTGCTTAGAAACAGAAACAAACAAACTGACCTAATTAAATCTATTCTGGGGTAACATATTTTTCAAAAGTCAGTATCATCTTTGCAATCACACAAACTGAAAGCACTAATACTTGGTTTAAAAGGTAGTCAGCAGTCTTATGTATCCTCACATATCAGGCCCATCCACTTATGCAAGGGATGAGAAAACTTTCACTTTTTTTAAAGAATTGGAAAGATTTTAGGATCATATATTTCATATTGATTCCACATCTCAAAATAGTGCCAAAATATTCAGAATGACAAGATAAATTACCAATCAATTGAAGATCTAAAAATTACAAATATTTAGTTATGGTCTTAAATAAAATAAACCTATTATATCTTCTTTAAATTATCTCTAAAATATTTCTTATATTTTATTTGACATGTGCCTTGAATTCTAGTCTAGTAACATAATCATAGACAAATTCCATGGAGATTTTATAATGGTTGTTTCAAGTTATAGGATATTAGTAAACTATCATTTAAAAACAAATATTCAATACTATCTGACTAAAGGCTTGAATAAAGTTATTTAGTTTACTGATATGGTACATTTTCCCAGATCAAAAAGCATACTAAACCAGAATTAAATCCAGAATTAAATACATGCCAGTTCATCTCTCGTGTGCAACTGAAGTAGAGTAGAACTGTGATTATAACATGAATCCCTACTTTCTTCCCACGTCTTGAATACACTGGAAATGAAGTAACAGTTGCATTGATAGCCAACCCATCTTTCTGGGCAAGAACGGTATCCAGAGTCTAAGAGAAAAATAACATAGCTGTTGACAGAGGAGATCGTTTTTCAGAGCTCTATACATATTGAAAAATTATTTTATAATTTATTCGTTTTTCTACAAAATTTTTGAAAACTTGAGTATAAAGTTGAATATTCTAGAGACAGCTAAAAACATTTTGTTTAACCTGCTCTTTTTCTGTACTATGGATCTAACAGTACAGTAAGAGCTAGAGATCTTTAAAGGAACAAAATGTTATAGATATTTTCTGAATAATAATTTTGTACATCAGGAGAATTCTGATATGTGTGTTGGGTATTTTATTTTATGGAAGATGCATGAAACAATTAGTTTTATACAGTTTCCACTGTAGCATCCTGAGTATTCACTATCCTCAGGGACAAAAGTCATGAC